GCTCCCCGCTTATGCAAATGAAGCCCGGGAAATTCAAATCTCGGGCTTCATTTGCAAGTGCGGTATGCCTACATTACCCTCCTAGTTCGAACTAGAAGGGTAGTGTAGACATACCCTAAGGTTCCATGGAAAGCAAGACTAAGAGGAAAAACAACTGAAGAGAGTTGGCAGTTTTTCAAAGGGATATTATTAAGGGCCCAAAAGCAAACTATTTCACTGTATAGGAAAGATAGAAAGTATAGTAAGAGACTACTTTGGCTTAACCAGCAGATCTTATGTGATCTAAAAATCGAAAAGGAGTTGTATAAAAAGTAAAAACTACGTCAAATTACAAAGGATGAATATAAGTAAACAACACAGGTATGCAAGCGCAAGATTAGAAAGGACAAGCACAAAACGAGCTCAGTCTATCTAGAGACATAAATGCTGCATCTAGACTGGCAAGTTTTTCTGCAAAATAAAAACTTGCTAGCTGTATACACTGGCCGCTTGATTTTACGCAAAATCACTGATGTTCTACTGTCCGAAATCGGTGCTTCTTGTGCAAATGCTTCGACGTTCCCGTTCGGACAAAAGCCCTTTTCCGGAAATGTTTTTGCGCAAGAGGGCCAGTGTAGACAGCTAAAATTGTTTTATGCAAAAAAGCCCCAATGGCGAAAATGGCGATTGGGGCTTTTTTGCACAAAAGTGTGTCTAGATTGGCACGGACGCTTTTCCGCAAAAAGGGCTTTTGTGGAAAAGCATCTGTGCCAATCTAGACGCTCTTTTCCGCAAATGCTTTTAACAGAAAACTTTTCCATTAAAAGCATTTGCGGAAAATCATGCCAGTCTAAACGTAGCCTCTATGTGGGTATGGAGAGATGCTCTAGGCCCACAGCTCCTTTTCCTCCATCCTCTCTGCCCCCCAACGCCCAGCCTTGCTGGTGTCCCAAAGCCTGACCGGGAGCCCCAGGACATACCTGTCTCCTCACAGGTAGCTAGACAAACAAGTGCTCTTGTGGCAGGCCCCTGCCAGTGGCAGAACCGAGCAAGGCTCAGACTCTGGCTGGCAGCTGAGGCCAAAGGCACCAGGGTACAGCCTGTGTCAGGATCCAGCCCTAGGGCAGCAAACGTGCAGAGGGGAAGGTTTTCAGGAAGCCCAGTGGCCTAGAGCCTGTGCAGAGAATCAGATCGCTGCTAACCACCGGGGACTTCAGCATGTGCCACCCTCAGTGCCGCCCGGAGGATTCAGGGGGTCTGGGGCAAAGCAATTTCAGGGGCCTCTTCTATAAGGGGAGCGTGGGGCCCAAACGGACTTCAGACATTCTCGTGGGGGTCCCTGCATGGCCTGGGACCTGGGGCAAATTGCCCCACTTCCCCCCCCCCCCGGGTGTCCCTGGCCGCCCTGTGCTCCTGTCCCCACAGTCCCCGCTCTCTGAGCTGACACGCCTCCCCCCAGAGCCAGACAAAGCTGGACATGCACCCCGGCTCGCATTTCCCCAAAGCAGCACCAACCCCCACCGTGATCATGGCTCAGGATCGGCCCAAGGAGGGAAAATGGCAGGGAAAGACTGGGGCATCTGGAATGGGAGTGGAGGTGGGGAGATGGGTGGGGTTGTTATTTCCCCTTCTGTGCCTGGTGTTTTACAAAGTTGAAATGTAACATCTGCTTTCCAGCTCATGGTGGGCTGCAGGAATGGGCTGGGCTGTGACCGCCAGGCTGCAGGGTCATACAGTTGAAAGGTTCACCGTGAACTCTCTCTTCAGTGGAAGGGTTGCAGCAGTGAGTTGCTGCAGTTTCACGCCTTGTCACCAGCTCACACCTGCTGCCTGTGACCTTAACCCCAGGCGCCCTGGGAGGCGGCTGTCTCAGGCAGGAGGTGGGGTGGAGAGTGAGGCACAGCTAACCTGAGACTCCTCTGCACACACGGTGTCACTGCAGTGACTCAGGGGGGTTCGTTCCCACCTCCTGTTTCACTGCAAGCGGGTGTGTGGCCGTGGACGCCCGCACTGCGAGGTACAAATGTGCTAGTTCCATTGGGGTACGTGCGGTTCAATACATGTGCACATGCTGACCCCGCTGGGGTGAGCCCCTGGCCAATAGCAGGGAGGCCGCAGAAGCCAGGTGCCAGCATGGGCTAGACACTAGAGTCCAAAGCAGCCCAAACCCAGACACGTCCCACGTAGCCAGACCCTGGCTCTCAGCTTCTATGTTCTTGTGTGTCGCTTTCTCCCCTTTTCCTTTCATTCCCTTCTGGTAATTTACAACCCCTGTTCCCCATGGCTTGCTTATGTGGAGTTCCTGCTTCCTCCTCTCCTTATCTTTCCGCAGCTCCTCCCTCCAGCCCCTCCTTTCTCTTCACTTCCCTCTGCCCTTGTGCAGCTGCTCTGACGTGGGGCACAGCCCTCCCACTATCACCATAAGCAGTCATCATGCAGAGAGATCAAAGCCCAAAGAGCTCCCGGCAGCCATGGCCGCAGCGACTCCTGCACAGGAAATCCAAGAGGAATCCAACTGTCCCATCTGCCTGGAGTATCTCACAGACCCAGTGAGCACAGACTGTGGGCACAGCTTCTGCCGAGGCTGCATCACTCAGCACTGTGAGACATGGGGAAAGCTGGGCTCTGACTCCTTGTGCTGCCCCAGCTGCAAAGCCCGAATCCAGAAAGGGTCCCTCCAAAGTAACCACCAGCTCGCAAATATCGTGGAAAAACTCAGACAACTGGATCTCAGCCCAGGCAATGAGAATCTGTGCGGGAGACACGGCAGAGCCCTGGATCTGTTCTGCGAAGAGGACTGGGAAGCCGTGTGTGTGCTTTGCTGGAGATCCCCCGAGCACAAATCTCACCTAGTACTGCCCCTGGATCAGGCCTGCCCAGCCACACAAGGTAGGACCCACTCTGGATGTGGGTTAATTCCACCCTTCCCTTTTCAGACTCAGTCTGTCCAAGCCCCTGACGCTCCGTTTCCCAGATTCTCTCCCCTGATCTCTGGATCTGTCCCCTGCAAGCTCCTTCCTGTGGGCAGGTGCAGAGAGCCCTGAACACTCCTGGCACCCAGCCCCCTGCCGTGCATGCAGAGGCTGGACTTGAAGACCTCTCAGGGCTCCTTCCAGAGCTGTGATTCTACCCCTAGGGAGAGGTGGGCCCCACAGCCCTGCAAGAGGCATTTTCCCCCACACAGGCTTGAAGCAAGATGTGTCTGTGCTGCTGCCAGGCCGGGAAAGGAGGGAGGGAGCTGTTCCCACCACAGCCCTGAGGCCCAGGCACGGCCCCCAGTAACGACAAACGGCAACAGGGAAACCTCCGGTCAGACAGGTGGCTGGTGACGGACACAGAAACAACGTTCAGAGGCAGCAAAGGGGTCAGGAGGGTGCGCAGGGAGCACCAGGAGGCTCTGAAACTGTTCTGTGAGGTTGATCAGACTTCTGCCTGTCTGGCTTGGCGTCTGTTCCCGGGCTCATCGCGCTCACACAGTGATTCCACTTCCTGCAAAGGAAGCTGCCCAGGAATACAAGGGACTAAGCTGCTGTTCAGTCCAATGAGTAATAACTTTGGATTGTAATTACTGGTTAATGGCATCACAGGTTGCTCCACACAGCTGTAACCGTGTCATATGGGTAAATCACAGAATCCCAAGGCTGGCAGAGACCTCAGGGGCCATTCCCTGGGAGTCGATGTAACAACACAAGCGAAGGGCAGACGGTAGAGAAGACACATTGCAGAATGCAGGAGCTAAACTCTGAGAATAAAAAAACATTTGTCCAACACAATAGTCATGTGTTAGTTACAAGGTAAAAAGCATCCTGTAAGCAGTCTCCGTGCAGCAGATACAGCACAGAGGTCTTAAGGGAGCAGCTCAGTTTGGTGGCAGGCCTGGGAAGGAACATGTTGGGGCCTGCTCTCTTGACTCTGCTTTGAAAACACGGTGGCTGCAGCTCAGGTAACTAGGCAAGGGCCTGTGTGCAGAAGCAGCCTGAGGCCGGCTGTAGCAGCTGGCGCCCCCAGCCGGGGTGGTGCCCTAGGCAACCGCCTAGTCTGCCTAGACTCACGGGCTGCCCCTGCCTGAGTGTGCAAAGGAGCCCAGAGTGGCACGGAGGCAGGCCAGGGAGTCTCATGGTCACCTTGTGTTCAGGTGCAGGAAAGAGTCTGTTCCCCAGAGCTGAGCTCTGTGAGGCCCCAAAGCTCGGCTCTCTCACCGACAGGTAGAAGATATCACCTCCCCCACTGAGTCTGTCTAGGGAGACCGAGAATTGTCTTGCAGCTGGGTGGGAAAACGCCCCCTACAAACACAGTCACCGCTCCAAAATAAAACCCCAAACTCATTTCTGTTGTACAGGAAAAACTCCAGGCCCATGTGGCGACTCTGAGGGAAAGGAGAGCGAAGCTGCTGCGGTTAAAGGAGACCAGTGAGCAGAGAAGCCAGCAGTACCTGGTAGGTGTCTGTTGTTTTTCACCAGCTGGGAGACATAGCTGGGGCTTAGGGTTGTTTATTGTAGGATTTCTCTGTGGTCTTGATTAAGGTGCGTTCTTGTGTGTTTCTCCGTTCTCATGGGATAGTGTGTGCGTGTGTCACAAATATTCTCTTCCTGTAAAAAATGGAAGCTGCATTTTAATGAATGAATTTCTGTTCACTGTGATGTTCACAAACCACTTCTCCCAAAACACAAGGGTTGTGTCCCAGGAGACTAGGACACGGCCCCTTATGGGATATTGGGAGCAAAGTGTAAAAAAGTCCCCCCCTTGTCATGAAAACAGACAGTCAAGTATCCGGCTGTGAAGGATCAAAGGTTTTGAACCCCAGTCAGAGGAGCTGACACCCTTGACAGCCCCCTAAGCAAGGTGGGGAGGAGGCAGCGCCATGCTCCTGGAAGGGGTGGAGCCTCAGACAGAAGGGGTGGGGATGCCCCCAGCTGTTCGGTGGAGATTTAAAGGGCCTGGAGTGCCACTGTTGCCGTTTCCCCTTTGGGCCCCGTTGGAGGGTGTGACGGGGTGTACTCGCTCCGCACTGGCCAAGGGGAGGGTCGCCAGGCCTACTGGGCTGAGAAGGCCCCTCCTCCGCAGCCCTGCTGGGCGTGCTCCAGCTGCAGGCCCGGTATAAAGGCCAGAGGAGCAGCTCAGTTGGGGCTGACCTCTGGAGGGGAAGGAGCTCCTGTGGGTGCACAGAAGTGTCCGCCCTTGTGGTCGGAGCCCAAACCGTTGACCCAGCTGGAGCTGCAGCCACAATCACCATGCTGAACTCAGGCCCCGA